TGGTTCAACGGCCTCAACCTCAGCAGCAAACTTAACAGTCTTCTTGGCAACAAGAAGTTTATGCACATAATCGAGCTTTGCCTTAACGTCAGCGAGTTGAACCCCATCCGTGTGTTGGGCTAGCTTCTTCCTCTCAAAATCAGCAACTTTAGTGTTGTTGCTGGAAGCTCAATTCTCAATCAGTTTGGTGGCTTGAGTTTGAGACCTTGTATTGTAGTTGCCATTACTTGCAGCATCTAAAGCCATCTGATATTTCCAATCCAATCCTCTATAAAAGATTCCCAACAGCTGAAATTTGTCATAACCATGGTGTGGACAATCTCTCTGATACCCCTTAAAACACACCCAAGCAGCTTTGAAAGCTTCTGAGATCCCTTGAGCAAAGGTAGAAATCTTTTTCCGCAGCTCCTCGGACCTCGCATCATCATAAAAGTTGTTCAAGAACTCAACCTTTACATCCTTCCGGCACGTAAGAGATGCAGGCTTCAACTCCTTGAGCCAGGATAGTGCTTCTCCTGTTAAGGAGTGCTGGAAAAGCTTGTAGAGAAGAAAGTCTGAAGATACACCATTAGTCTTGATGCTAGATACCAATTCTTCAAACTTCTCAATATAGTCCATTGGATGCTCATGAGCATGACCATGGAACGGGTGTTGTCCTACAAGAGTGTAGTACCCAGGCTTCAACTCAAAGTTGTTCCTCTGAAATGCAGGAGGACGTATAGCAGAGCTGTTTGAATAGAACAATGCAGGCCTGTTGTATTCTCCAAGTGTACGGTTCTCATCATCTGCTTCAGGAATTACAGTCTCGTCAGCATTCAGCTTCTATCCTTGTGCATTTCTCACATGGCCATCTCCATCTCTGAGAGTACCCTCAACACTTGAATCAGAACCACCGGTGGTGCCATTGCTGCCTTTATCTTAGCTTTTCGAATTCCTCTTTCTAAACCCGCTAGTTCGGAATTGTTATAATCAACTAACTCTTTATTCTGCTGGCTTCTGGTATTAGGCAAAAACCTGAAACACCAAAAAGAAAAGAGAAAACAAAAGCGTAAGTAACAAAATAAAATAAAAAAACTTAGACTAAACTTTTAACCTTAATCTAATAGTAATCAAAATTGAGTCCCCGGCAGCGGCGACAAAATTTGATCGGTTCAAGTTTGCCCTGAGCTACTTTCTCAATTAAGAGATCACTGTAGTACTTAGGGATCAAATCCACAGAGACTCAACGATTACACAATAAATAATTGGTATTAAATTATGCTAAACAAGCACGTTTTCAATTAAATAAAACAGCAAATTAAAATAAAGATTGATTTTTAAACAGTAATGGGGAAACGCTAGGCCTAGGGATATTCTCAGGAAATTCAGAATTGCAAATAAATAATTGTCAGGATTTATAAAGCACCGTTCTTGAACTCAAATCACAAAAATATAATAATTCAACTTTCGTTGCAAAGACTATCTATGTATAGAACCCTAAATTCCAAATCTCTTTGCAAATTTATAAGTTTAAGACATGCATTTAATTTAGGTTTGATAAGTTCACAAAATCCCTAAACCAAATCTCTTTGCGAATAGGTATTTTGCTCTCTAGATCATTTTCAGAAAGTCAATAACACTTTCGTGTCTACCAATTAACCTAAGATCAGATTCTAGGTTGCTTTCACTACTCTATAACAAATTAACCACAATCTACATGAAGAACTCAATTGATTCAATCCTAACAATCTAATATCCTAGCAATTCATGAATTCCTTTGAAAACCCTAAATCTAACATGAAATCTACTCAGACATGGTGAATAAAACAAACATCATGAATAAAATAGATATCATAAAAGAAAGTTAAAACAAAGACACACACATTCAAACACTTCACTTTTTTCTCAAATTCACCTGCTCGTCCCATGTCTTTACATAGAACTACTCCATTTCACCTCTTGTTCTCAAGTCTTCACTGCTCCATCATCACCTTTCACTAGTCTTCATTTATAAGTTCTTCACTCCAGTAGTGTCCAAACATGCATCTTCCATCCATGCTCACAAATTCCCTCCTCAACATGTGTACCTTATCCTCCCAAGAGTACTGAAACTCTCTTCCGGTCTCTCTAACCATTGACTGCCCAATGGAACCCGTAATTTCCTCTTCATTGCCATCTGTTTCCGATGTCTGAGAGTCATGGAATCTATTCCCAAGTGCAACATACAGTAATCCTTCCCAAAATTCAAGAACCCATATTGAACAGGACTTCCAAATAGTTTTCAGAAAGATTACCCGTAATTGATTTAGTTAAGATCATGTCGATACCTGGATTGGTTAGTGAAAGTATATAGTCAATATATAAAAGTATAGAGTTAAGATGGAGTCAAAAATTAGCAAAAGGGTAGAGAATTAAATTTAGTATCAGAATTAAACGTGATAAGAGTCAATGTTTATGGCATTTTTGTAAGTCTGGTCACATATCTGAACGCCATACTTGTATCAGCTGATGAATGGAACTATTTTTGTACAGATTTTCTTCTGATACCTTTTTAGTAAAATTTGTAAGTATTTGACTAATTATTTAGTTTATTGTCTTTTGAGTTTTGACTATGCATATAAATTTTCTAAAAATTAACAAAAAAAAATTAGATCCGAATTTTTTACCAAAATAGTTTACGTTAGTTCGGTATGATGTCGAGGAAAAATACTAGTGGAACTACATTTTAGGTGTATTGACGGAAACCTACCAAAACTTTTTTTTATCCTTAGATGTTTTTTAATTACCAGCATGCCCTTTTTACACGTTACCGGAAAAAACCAATTACAAAAAATGCCACTGCCACGTCAGACAAAAAGGCGCGTGCCACCAATAACTCAGCCATAACGTACGTTACGGCTGAGTAATATCACGTAATGGCTGAGTTCTGGGACAACGGCTGAGTTTCGGGTCAACGGTTGACTTACGATCATAACTCACCCAACAGTTACGACTGACTTATAAAAATCTGGTTGAGTTATGAGAAAACGGCTAATAACTCAGCCGCCGTTACGGCTAATAACTCAGCCGCCGTTACGGCTAATAACTCAGCCGCCGTTACGGCTGAGTTATACTCCGATGGTTGAGTTATCAGAAGTTTGGCTGAGTTATGTTATCGACACGGCTCACTTAACTTTCTCCGGTTGGATGAGTTATCGACAACGGCTGAGTTATCAAATATCGTTACGGCTGACTTATGTTTCAGAGACATAACTCAGTCGTAAATTGGCTGACTTAACAGAAAACTCAACCATGTTACGGCTGACTTATTGACAAAAGATTTATTGCTAATATAGCCTCCAGTTACGGCTGACTTATTTTACGTTATAGCTGACTTATTACCGCTACGGCTGAATTTGGCATCTTAAAAGACATTTTAGTAATTACTTCATTATTTTTCATGTTGTGGCTGATTTAATTTGTGTTGATGGCTGATTTATTTTGGCTGAGTTAAAAATTTGTTTGGTGGCTGTCTTACGACTTCAAAGGCACAATTCCACGTCAGCATAAACGAGGGAAATACGAAAGGTCCCCCATTAGCTCGTGTTTTCTCTTACACTATGTTCTTCATTTTCTGTTCTTCACTTCACTTCTGTTCTTCATTTTCACTTTTGTTCTTCATTTTCACTTATGTTCTTCATTTTCGTTGATGGATCATCCGGTTCCAGTAATTGTTGTGTCTAGTAATTGGGCAAAGAAACAGAAATATGTATTTAACACCGACGATAGAGGTTGTAGAGTTGTGCAGATAGATGCGGAAACAACGCACGAGAAGCTAGTGAAATTGGTTCTTGATGACTACGGACTGCATGAGTTGAGCCACAAGGTAACGATGAGCTACATGCTCTGGTACAAACATATGAAACATATGTCGCATGATACTCCCCCAGTATATGTGTCGAATGATCGACAGTTGTAGTGTTATATAAGCTTGTTGACAATCGATCAGCTACGACTTTGTGTTGAGTTTGCGAAGATGAAGGACTGATCGAATGGAAGGACGAAACGGCCACGCAGTTCGGCTTCAGAAGTAGAATCTACATATGAAGACGCAAGAGGATTTGATGGTTTTTGTTATGATTATAGTGAAAACCTAGAAGATGAAGTCAAAGAAGATGAAGCAGAGTACGAATCAGAGGATGAAAAAGAAGATGACGAGTTTTCAACCCGATTTGACATTTTCGACGACTCCGATGGTGCGTCATCTGATGATGATAACTTTACTGTATACGGCGAGCCTGAGGAGAAAGATGAAGATATCAAAACAGAGGTCATTACTTTGGCAAAGTGGGATCGATTGGGAACTCGGAGTCTTTAACGGTGGAGATGGCTAAGTTAAACATCGTCGTAGGACAACGATACGCGAGCAAAAACGAGTTGGAGAAACGAGTGAAACTTCTTTCGGTGAGAGATGGATTTGATTTTTCAGTACCAAAATCAAATACGACTGTAGTGAATATTACGTGCTGGGTTGAAGGATGTCTTTGGAGAGTTCATGGATCTCAAGAAGGAGATGAGCGTGGTTTTGTTGTTCGTATATACGATTCGGTACACACATGTTCTATGACAGAGAGATATAATCGATCCAAACAAGCAACACCTGATGTTTTGGGACCTCTTTATAGGGACTTTCTTGGTGACATTGGTCCATTAGTTAAACCTAAAAGTGTTGGAATTATCATCAGTAAGCATTTTAGCATAAAGGTAATTACTATGTCACGGCTGATTTATATTTGACTCACGGCTGAGTTTTCGTTCAAGTTATGGCTGAGTTCTCATTACGATACGGCTGAGTTTCGTGGAGTTTTCTTTCCTTTACGGCTGAGTTATCATTACGATGCGGCTGAGTTTTCATTTATGTGTCGGCTGACTTATATATAGTTACGGCTGAGTTATCATTACGACACGACTGAGTTTTCATTTATGTGTCGGCTGACTTATATATAGTTACAGCTGACTTATTATTATATTGGTGCCAACATATGGATTATTGGAAGTCATACAAGACGATAAGGTTTGCAAGACAGATCGATATGGGAAATCCTGAGGGAAGTTTTGAAGAATTGCCTTCCTACCTATACACTATAAGACGGGCAAATCCGGGTACAATAACGCATCTTCAAATTGATGAGTGTGACAGATTCAAGTATGTCTTCATTGCTTTTGGTGCGAGTGTTGCTGGGTTTGCTTACATGCGGAAAGTTGTTGTTGTGGATGGTACGTTTCTCCACGGTAGTTACAAAGGAACGCTTCTAACAGCCCTAGCTCAGGATGGAAATTTCCAAACTTCCCCAATAGCTTTCGCAGTTGTTAACACTGAAAATGATGATTTTTGGCGTTGGTTTTTTACGCAACTCAAAGTTGCTATTCCAGACGAGAGGAATCTTGCGATCATCTCGGACATACATAAGTCAATAAGGAAAGCAATTGGTGAAGTGTATCCGTTGGCTTCTCGTGGAATTTGCACTTATCATTTGTACAAGAACATATTTGTTCCCACTTGTGAAAAAAGCGGCTAGGTGTTTTCAGATGGCTGATTTTACAGAGGCATTCAATGAGATTGAAGCGCTTCATCCTAAACTACATGGATATCTCCAAAGAGCTGGGGTGCAAATGTGGGCGCGCGTTCATTTCCCGGGTGAAAGGTACAACCTAATGACTTCGAACATTGCGTAATTTATGAACAAAGCACTATCAAATAGTAGAAGTCTTCCCATAGTTCGACTGTTAGAATCCATACGGAATATGATGACTAGATGGTTTGCTGAACGGAGAGAGGATGCGAAATCACAGCTAACAAGGCTCTCACGAGGTGTTGAAAAACTGTTAGAGGTAACTGAGCCGATCACGTTACATAAGTGAGCCATAACTTGCTTATAACTCAGTCGTTATTTATATAACTTAGCCATAACATGATTATAACTCAGTCGTTATTTATATAACTAAGACATAACTCAGTCGTTATTTATATAACTTAGCCATAACATGATTATAACTCAGTCGTTATTTATATAACTAAGCCATAACTTTTATGTTTTGTTCTTCCCTCTAATAGGGTCGTTTAGCTGCATCAAGACTTTTTGAAGTACAACCGATTAATGCTTTACGTGTACAAGTACAATATGGAACATCTTTGCATGTTGTAAATTTGTATGCAAAAAGATGCACATGCCGCCGTTTCGAGCACGAGAAAATACCATGCGTCCATGCAATCACAGCTGCAGAGCATATGGGTGTGTCTCGTATTTCCCTGGCCGATCCGACATACCGGAGCAATTATTTGGTTAACGCGTACGCTGATTCAATCTCACCTCCGGATACTGCACTCCCTGTTCCTGAAATTGTAACTAACCAACCGTGCGTGCCTCCGATCGTTGCAACCCAGCCAGGAAGGTCGAAGAAAAGCAGGATTAAATGAACTGTGGAAATTGCACTTCATAATAAACGCCCGAGGAAGCCACACGCATGTTCTCGATGTAAAGAAGTTGGGCATAATGCAAAAACTTGTCGGAAGTAGTATTGTTGGTATGTTGTTGGCATAGATTTTCTCGTTTTGATTATGTGTAGACAATGTTTGTTTTATGTAATCCATATTTCTAGACTAAGCCCTTATGATAACTCAGTCGTAACATATATTTAACTCAGCTGTAACGCGACCTTTCGTCTTTCTACCGTACGATAACCCAGCCGTAACGCGACCTTTCGTCTTCTTTAATATGATAACTCAGCCGTAACATGAATTATCATACAGAATATATTCATGTTACTGATAACTCAGCCATATTAGTTTATTGATAACTCAGCACAATAAGTTACTGATATCTCAGCCCAATAAGGTTACAGATAACTCAGCAGTAATGCGACATTTCGTCTTTTTCCCGTACGATAACTCAGCCATCACATTAACCATCGCAATTTTTCGTGTTCTTCCTTTCTCTCTTTCATCTGATCCCTTTATATATCAGTTTTATTATACCATAAATCTTTTTCCCATTCATTTCATCTTTCATCAATATGGAAGTCGTTCCTCATATGCCAGAACATGTTCTTACAGAGATTCACGCGATTCTTGCCGGACCTGGTCTGGATGATCTTCCCGTTCTATACCCTGCTCAGGGTTTATATGATGCTTTTGTTGACAAAAAAAACAACGAGATGGAGAGATTACCATAACATAATGGTTGAAGCGATCGAGCCTATACTTTCTCAGAACTAGCACCACGAGTGGCCGACTTATCGCTTGATTCCCGCCCGCATCAAGATACATTGGTTTAAGATGCTACTGGTAAGCACCACGTTTAAAGCATTTTCATTCATATGGTTATTTTCTCTTTGCCTAATTTTTTTTCTTTTATGTAGCGCCAATACAACTGGGATCCAAAGCAAACGTTAATCATTTGGACACACTTTAATAAAGATGCGAGTTCAATTTTCATGTGGCAGATGCGTGGGATTAGGAAAAAATGGATCTTAGGTTACGATAAGCCCGAGTGGTTGAATCCAATGGTTTGGGAGAATATTGTCCATATGTTTCAACAACTTGGTGCACACGATCTCTACTGGGAATATTGTTGCTGAATTCCAATAGTTATTTGCTTATGAATGTTTTCAATGATGTTTCCTATGTGTTCTCAAGTTCTTTGCTTTTGAATGTTGTTTGTTCTTTCTGAACTTCTTTTTGAACTTCTTTGTAATCCCAAACAAATATCTTTTCTTTTGAATCATGTTGTTTCTTTTTTTCTTCATTTTAGCAATTTTAACAGCCATATAACTCAGCCGTAATGTTATCAATAACTCAGCCATAACGTAGTATAAGTCAGCCATACCCTAAATATGCGTTATGTCAATTTCTAGTTATAACTCAGCCGTAATGGAATCACGTAAATACTAGGTTATTGATAACTCAGCCGTAATGTTATCTATAACTCAGCCATAACGTAGTATAAGTCAGCCATACCCTAAATATGCGTTATGTCAATTTCTATTTATAATCAAGTTATGAAATCACATAAATACTAGGTTTAAATATGATACAATCATGTTACCATATTATTCATCAATAATTAGACTTTGTTGGTAACATTTCAAAAACTATCACACAAAAACTAGTTTCTAGTCATAACCAACACTACTTAATTTGAACTGGATGAAATTGTGTAAATTTTTCATTTTCTTTTCAAAATTAACAATCTTAACATGCATATTTGCTGCTAATATATATTTATTATATTTCATATCCATTATATACTTATATAATTGGTAATTATAAATTATAATTATACTCATAACTCAGCCGTAACTTGAACACATTAACTCAGCCGTAACATAATCATAAGTCAGCCATACCCCATTTCTCATTTAACATGAAAAGAACTCTTAAAATTGCTGGTTAAACAACACAAATTACAACATAACCAGTCTAAACATCATGAAACATGAATGAAACAACAATTATATTCTCTCCCATAGCCAAACAATTGCGATTCCTTTTACAAAGAGTAGAGAAATTGTCTTCAAAGCTGTTTTACCCATATCATCCTCAATCTTCTTCATCAGTTCTTCCTCAAGCTTGTCAAACATTTCTTTTTGGAGATCAAAATTTTGAGTATGTTGATGCCTTAAGTCCGTCATATCTTCTTCTATTCTCTTTACCTTTGCGTCGACCATCTAAATTTCTTCAACCGATGCCTCATCAACCCATTTGAAGAAATTCGACTCACTCGGCCTCTAATTAACAAAAAACCAACATCGATACCCATATGTTAACAATAAACAATTAAAAACTAATTATTACCTTCAAAGCAATCAAGCATCTATAGAAGATACGGTAAGGGTTTTCCTTTGTCTTTGATATGTATGTGATGATATCGTTACCACACCAACATCCGCAATTCGTCGGAAGATCTGGAGGATAAGCACCATGTGCTGAACGATATGAACTCGAACAGTAGTCGCTCATTATTAAAAATTGAGAACTGGAACCCAAAAATCGAAGATAAACCCAGAGAGAGGAGGCAAGAAATTGATAAGAACCCTAAATCCCCAATCTGATTTCTCGATTATGTCTATAAGGGAGAAGAAAGAAGGAAACGACGTCGTGCGAAATTGAATCGGCCAAACCACGAATTTAATTTAGTATAACTCAGCCAAACCTCAAAATCTGTCTGTGGCTTAACTCGGCCAAACCTCGAATTTGAATATCAAAATCATAACTCCGCCGTAACATATATATAACTCAGCCGTAACGTTATGTGTAACTCAGCTGTAACATATCTATAACTCAGCCAAACCTCGAATTTGAAATATAAGATTTTTTATACATTCATGTTATTAGAACACTTAGATAAGACGAATTTAAGGTTTTTATTCACTGTAAAAATGTATATAATTAAATTAGCTCTTGTTTATACCTTTTAAGACTTATGTATCCAACAAAGAGATAAATCCTAGTAATGGTTCTCCATTCTATCTTGTAATACCCTAATGTAATACAATTTTATCTTTTATATTAGTCTAAATTTTATCATTTACATTAAAGATAGTTTTTTTATATATTCTAATACCATAATGTTAAGTTTATTGTTGAATTTAAAATGCTTGATTATTGTTGAGTTCAACCGTCATTCGGATATCAGCCATAACAAAACCATAACTTAGCCATAAACATAACTATAACTCAGTCATTACAAATCCACAAATGAGCCATGATGTTCGAGATTCCAATAATTTACATATTATCATAATAAGTATACTAAAACATAATATTACTGAAACTGGTTGAGGTAATCCGCTGCCTCATCGAAAATGTCTGCTGCCATCTTCAGCCGTATACCTTGGATATTTTCATCACAGAGGCCATCGAAACTAACACCAAGTGCTAGGCATTCCACATATTTGAGAGAGTACACGCCACAGTCCCATCGCCTTACTATGTGGACGGATTTCAGCAGGGACTAATGCGTTGAGAATTGCTGGAAGCATCTGCGTAAACGGCTTAACACACTTCATCATTTTTGCTTCACTTTCAGGTGTTACCTGTCCCACAATACTGTCATAAACCACGGGTCTAAAAACGCAATACCTTTGGTGTGGAATGGGCAGGGGTCTTCAAGGAACCGTTTCGTGAGGAGTCTCATAAACGCACTCACATGCTGAAAAAAAACCATAAGGTATGATAAATATAAGTCAACCATAACTAATATATAACTCAGCCATAACTTAGCTATAACGCAGCCATAACTCAGCCATAACTCAGCCATAACGTAGCCATAACTCAGCCTTCAAGCTGAATGATAACTCAGTCACGACAAAAAAGGGGAAAACTTACATCGTCCCTCAGCCAGCCATACTTATTGTCCGTAGCTGGCCAATCCTTTCTTTCAGTGATGAGTCTCTTGTAGAATTCAATTTCAGGGACTGCCTTGCCATATGGGGTAGCCCTAACAAACAACACACTTTAATATACATAAAAAGGGGGGGTAAAGAAGAAGTAATCAATAGGTCAATAGGTACGAAGACTTACTTGTGTGGACTTAAGTGTTCCAATAATCTCTCCAATCTGGCCGGATCAACAGGGGCGAAAGGATCATATATTGCAACAGAGGGTACACAGTTCTTCCTCATACATGTCAGCCCGTTCTCTCCAATAATAGGAAAAACATGAGGATTTGGCTGTGGCTCCAATGCACTCCCATCTTTAGCAAACTTCACATTTGCTCTCCTTAATCCTTTAATCCTTTCATTCCTAATCTTTTCTTCTTCATCAACATCAGATTCAGGTAAGACGTTCAAATTCTCAAAAGGATTATTGTCAGTGACATCCTCTATTTCACTATCACAAGCTTTGTTGTCCCCTTTGTTGTCCACTTTGTTGTCCTCAACCTCAACCTGTTTCTTTCCTTCCTTTGAGAATTTGAATTTCACAAGAGGAATCTTAACAACATCTTCAGCAAGTTCTTCCACCAGATCAGAAGGGACACTTGGTTTCAGCTGCTGAACACCTCTAGGCTTTCTACCTCTCTTCTTTGGCTGGCCTTTTTCCTCATTCCCTTTCCTCCTTACTTCAGCTTCTGCCCTCTTCTTTTCATCTACTTCTTTTTTCTTTTGGGCATATGTGATCGGCTCAAATTTGCCCTGAGCTACTCTCTCAATTAATAGATCACTGTAGTACTTAGGGATCGAATCCACAGAAACTCAAAGATTACACAGTAAATATTCGGTATTAAAATTAAGCTAAGCAAGCAGGTTTTAAATCAAATAAAAACAGCAAATTAAAATAAAGATTGGTTTTTAAACAGTAATGAGGAAACACTAGGCCTAGGGATATTCTCAGGAAATTCAGAATTGCAAATAAATAATTGTCAGGATTTATAAAGCACCGTTCTTGAACTCAAATCACAAAATTATAATTAATCAACTTTTGTTGCAAAGACTATCTATGTCTAGAACCCTAAATTCCAAATCTCTTTGCAATTTTATAAGTTTAAGACATGCATTTAATTCAGATTTGATAAGTTCACAAAATCCCTAAACCAAATCTCTTTGCGAATAAGTATTTTGCTCATCTAGATTATTTTCAGGAAATCAATAACACTATCGTATCTACCAATTAACCTAAGATCATATTCTAGGTTGCTTTCACTACTCTAGAACAAATTAACCACAATCTAGATGAAGAACTCTATTGATTCAATCCTAACAATCTAACAACCTAACAATTCATGAATTCCTTTGAAAACCCTAAACCTAACAAGAGATCTACTCAGACATGGTGAATGAAACAAACATCATGCACAAAATAGATATCATAAAATAAAGTCATAGAAGAAGTAAAGGAGTTCTGAATCTTCTCTGAATGAGGTTTTGATTCTTCTCTCCTGACTTTCTACAAATCTCTCTCTCCAAAATAAAGCTTAAGTCTTAACAAAACCCTAAAAACTCAATATATATGTCTTAACCACGAACTGGGCTTAATTGCAAATAAGGGAAACTTCTGGGCCGAATCTGCAAATCTTCTGAACTTCAATTAAATTGCCGTCAGATATTGGTGTCGATCGGCACCAGAAGTTGTGACGCTCGACACTCACACCAAATATGCTTTCCCGGTACGTTCCTTCGGCACATCTTCTCCAAATGCTCCCAAATGCTCCAAAAAGCTCCAATCCAATGCCAAATAGCTCATAATCCTGAAATGACTCAAAAAGACTCGAAAACACTAGAAAACCTCTATAAATAATACTTATATCAAGACCAAAAACCCGTAAAAACCATGATATATCAACTCCCCTAGACTTAGCCTTTGCTTGCCCTCAAGCAAAACAGAAACTTAACCTGTGAAAGAAATTTGAAAACGCGGGAACTCACTCAACTGTAGGAAACTCTTCTTTGCACTCTTCATCCCCTTGACTCTAGAACTTACTTTATGTACTTTGCCTATGAGAAGCATCAACATTCCTTACTCTAATCCCACAATCCTCAGGAATCTCCTGTCTCTCCATTGTCATCTCTTTACATAATTTAAAACAAGTAAAGATGAATTCTTACCGAGGGAATATCGATCAATGGCATATGGACTCTTCTCGAACCAAGACATTCTTCGTATGATTTCACTTCTTCTCCCTTTTCTCACTTCTAAGGTAATCGACATCTCCCTACTTTTCTAGGGTATCATTTTATTTTTTCAACGATTCTTTTTTTTTCTTTCTTTTCTGCTTTTTTTTTTTTATAACTCTTTTTATTCGAGTATCCATGAGATCCGAAGTATGAGCGGGTTTACGCGACATCCCTCATATCACTTCTACCTATAGCCTTTTCCACAGTTTCTTTTAAAGGCTGAAGGGAAGAGAGTAGGAAGGAATCATACTTTGAAAAAGTGCAGTGTCTTGTGCGGCTCGAAGAAGAAGTCTAGTCCAATGTATTCCAACTCCCAAGGTAAGAGACTAAGTCCAATTAAGTCCTGATAAAAGTAGAGACAACGTTAGATCAACTGGATATCCAATGAATAAGGGCTTTCAGGATTGTTGATACAGCTCATAGTCATTCCAAACTTCGGTTCTGAGATCAAGCATAATCAAGAGTCATAAGAGTGTTAATCCAAATCAGAGAAACCGTTAGACTGAGTTCATAGTTCCCAACAAAAATTTTGACTCAATAAAACACAAAAAATAAAAATAAAAATTTGGACTGACTCCATAAAACTCCAAAAGAATAAACAATGTTAGTAACTACCTCCCCCAGACTTAAACAACACTGTCCCTAGTGTTGCCAATCCTAAGATTGGCAAATAAAAGAAAATAAAACAAAAATAAATGCAAAAGAAATAGAAAAAAAACTTACAAGTGGGTTGCCTCCCACTAAGCGCTTGTTTTCAGTCATTAGCTTGACTTTGTCGGGGTTCATGCATCCGGTTGGTCAGAAAGCGGCACTAAATGCCTCCGAGAATAGTGTCTCATCATCCAAAGTGGTTTATAAGCATTAGGTGTAGGAGATCGACCAAGTACACGAGGAACAGCAGCAGGGCATAGTCTAGGTATGGGTGGGACACTTCTTCTACCTGCAACATCATCAAAAGAACCAACAAGCGCTCTACGATAATCTCGTGGCCTTGTTAACTGCAAAACAGTCTTTGTACCTTTGAAAGTCTTATTGATGATATGAGAAGATTTGGGTAAAGAAGTTGCGTACCTTTGCTTTTCTCGAGGTCTCTAGAGTATGGGTGGTGAAGCTTTCCGATTCAGATTAGGGCTCAAGCTTGCAGTAGTAAGATCAACCCGAAAACCATCCATTTTTGGCAAGTTCGGACTGTCGTGGCGAGGGGTGTCGATCGACACCATGGTGGTGTCGCTCGACACTGAGCCTGATGCTTGTGTTCAGCACTTTTTCTGCAATTTGTCTCAGCGATCCTCATCTCTAGCACAAAAACATCATCTTTCAATAACTTAACAGTAGCTAGACCCCCGCTCTGGTCCCTAGTCCTAAACAGATGATTACTAGCAATAATGTCTTCTGAATACCCTACGACTGCCTTGTCATCCATGGCTTCCTCTACAGAACAAGTCTGGCCATCAATAGTAGGTGCTCTTCTCAACTTTTCCATGTCAAAGTTCATAACCGAATCACCAACATGCAGTCCAATCTTTCCTTTCTGAACATCTATAAGAGCACCAACGGTAGCCAAGAAAATCTCCCAAGGATAATATGATCCTTAGGTTCTTTAGCATACTCAAGAACAACAAAATCAGCAGGAATCATGCATTCACCAACTCTTATCAAAACATCCTCTAAAATACCTTTGGGAATCCTTTTCGATCTATCAGCTAAGATAAGGAGATCCTAGTCGGCTTGAAATCTGTCATCCCAAGTCTCACAGCAACAGAGTATGGTATCAAGTTGATACCAGAGCCAAGATCATAAAGAGAGTGAGGAAATCTTTCTGTGAAGATAGAGCAGTCTAGCACGAAACTTCTTGGATCAGGTTACTTCTCCGGAATCCTGCTCTGAATCATGGCACTAACTTTTTTGGAAACAAACATTTTCTTCTTCTTTTCTTTCTTACTCTGTGGGGTCTGTTTCAAGAAGATAGCACCCATGTCTCTAGCCAGCAAAGATCCTTCCTCAGGGCTCGCTTCATTTTGGACCATCCTCTTAACACACCGCTTAAGCATAGGTGAATCACGATCTGCATGATCTAGAGGTATCTCAGTAACCACCTTTTCCATCATTGCCTTGCATCGAGCTTCTTCTATCTCCTGTTTAGACTTCCTAGGCTTTGGAAAAGGAACCTTAGGCTTGTAGATCTTTTCTGTAGATGGTCGCGGAGTTTCGGGAAAATCCGGTTGTGTCTGTGAGGGGGTGTCGATCGACACTGGGAAGGTGTCGCTCGACACAGTGATTTGGTGTCGATAAGGTGGTCTCGATCGCGGTCGATATTGGTCCGTCGGGAGCCGAATCCACGAGAACTGGTGTTAGTGTCGATCGACACCGTGAGATGGTGTCGAGCGACACTTGCTGTGCGAGTGCAGTTTCATCATCTTCTCTTGTTTCCTCCTCCCACACATTATCTCCATCTCTAATCAAAATGGCATTACACCCTTCTCGTTTCTTCACAGATCCAGTAGTCCGTGCAGCAAGAGTTTCTAACTTATTGGTATAAGTGCTCAGAGCTTCGATTTTGCCATTCAAGTTAGTGTACATGGCATCCATCTTCCCGTTGAAGTCCACTTTCATGTTCTGCTGACCCGCTAAAATCTGTTCTGGCATGGACTTCATCTCAGTATCTGTAGATGGAGAGGGAGGTGAGTGGTAAGAAGAATTTCCATCGGTGCTGATGAAACTGCTGCTGCCTTTCTGACCATACCCATTGTTGTATCGGTTACCCTGTGTGTTACCAAACTTCTGACCTTGATACCCAGCACCATTGACGTAGTTCACGTCTTCTTTTTCATCCTCATATGATTCAAAAGCCTCAACCTCAGCAGCAAACTTAACACTCTTCTTAGTAACAAGAAGGTTATGCACTGAATCGAGCTTTACCTTAACGTCAGCGAGTTGAACACCATCCATGTTTTGAGCTAGCTTCTTCTTCTCAAAATCAGCGACCTTAGTACTGTTGATGGAAGCTAAGTTCTCAATCAGTTTGGTGGCTTGAGCTGGAGACCTTGTGTTGTAGTTACCGTTGCTAGCAGCATCCAAAGCCATCTGGTACCTCCAATCCAATCCTCTATAGAAAATGCCCAAAAGCTGAAATTTTTCATACCCGTGGTGTGGACAATCTCTCTGATAACCCTTAAAACGCACCCAAGCAGCCCTGAAAGCCTCTGAGATCCCTTGAGAAAAGGTAGAAATCTTTTTTCGCAACTCCTCTGATCTCGCATCATCATAAAAGTTGTTTAAGAACTCAACTTTTACATCCTTCCAGCACGTAAGAGATCCAGGCTTCAACTCCTTCAGCCAAGATAGTGCTTCTCCAACTAAAGAGTGCTGGAAAAGCTTGCCGAGCAGAATATCCGAAGATACACCATCAGCCTTGATGCTAGATACCAGATCCTCAAACTTCTCAATATGATCCATTGGATGCTCATAAGTATGGCCATGGAACGGGTGTTGTCCTACAAGAGTGTAGTATCCAGGCTTCAACTCAAAGTTGTTCCTTTGAAATGGAGGAGGACGTATAGCAGAGCAGTTAGAATAGAACAGAGCAGGCCGGTTCTCATCCTCTGCTTCAGCATTCAACGCCAACTGTGCATTGTCAGCTGCGGCTTGGTGTCGATCGACACCCGCCTGGTGTCGATCGACACCCGCCTGGTGTCGCTCGACCCCAACGGCGAGTGGTTCAAGAATTACAGTCCCGTCAGCATTCAGGTTCTGCCCTTGTGCATTCCTCACATGGCCATCTCCATATCTGAGAGTACCCTCAGCATCTTGAATTAGAATCACTGGTGGTGCCATTGCTGCCCTTTTCTTAGCTTTTCGAATTCCTCTTTCTAAACCTACTATTTCTGAATTTTTGAGATCAACTAACTCTTTGTTCTGCTGGCTTCTGGTATTAGGCATAAACCTGAAACACCAAAAAGAAAAGAGAAAAGAAAAACGTAAGTAACAAAATAAAATTAAAAACTTAGATTAAACTTTTAACCTTAATCTAATGGAAATCAAAATTGAGTCCCCGGCAGCGGCGCCAAAATTTGATTGGCTCAAATTTGCCCTGAGCTACTCTCTCAATTAAGAGATCACTGTAGTACTTAGGGATCGAATCCACAGAGACTCAAAGATTACACAGTAAATATTCGGTATTAAAATTAAGATAAGCAAGCAGGTTTTAAATCAAATAAAAACAGAAAATTAAAATAAAGATTGGTTTTTAAACAATAATGAGGAAACACTAGGCGTAGAGATATTCTCAGGAAATTCAGAATTGCAAATAAATAATTGTCAGGATTTATAAAGCACCGTTCTTGAACTCAAATCACAAAATTATAATCAATCAACTTTCGTTGCAAACACTATCTATGTCTAGAACCCTAAATTCCAAATCTCTTTGCAAATTTATAAGTTTAAGACATGCATTTAATTCAGATTTGATAAGTTCACAAAATCCCTAAACCAAATCACTTTGCGAATAGGTATTTTGCTCATCTAGATTATTTTTAGGAAATCAATAACACTTTTGTGTCTACCAATTAACCTAAGATCAGATTCTAGTTTGGTTTCACTACTCTAGAAAAAATTAACCACAATCTAGATGAAGAACTCTATTGATTCAATCCTAACAATATAACAACCTAACAATTCATGAATTCCTTTGAAAACCCTAAACCTAACAAGAGATCTACTCAGACATGGTGAATGAAACAAACATCATGAATAAAATAGATATCATAAAAGAAAGTAATAGAAGAAGTAAAGGAGTTCTGAATCTTCTCTGAATGAGGTTTTGATTCGTCTCTCCTGACTTTCTACAAATCTCTCTCTCCAAAATAAAGCTTAAGTTTTAACAAAATCCTAAAAACTCAATATATATGTCTTGACCACGAACTGGGCTTAATTGCAAATAAGGGAAACTTCTGGGCCGAATCTGCAAATCTTCTGAACTTCAATTAAGCGAGAAATTCAATTGCCGTCAGATATTGGTGTCGATCAACACCAGAAGTTGTGACGCTCGACACTCACACCAAATATGCTTTCCCGGTACGTTCCTTCGGCACATCTTCTCCAGAACTTCTTCTTCTTCTTCCTGAATTTTCTTCTCCTGAAACTTCATAACATAAAACAACTCAGCCAAAACAAAGGTATAACTCAGCCATAACACAAAACAACTCAGCCATAACAGAGGTATAACTCAGCCGTAACATAAAACAACTCAGCTAAAACAGAGGTATAACTCAGCCATAACATAACTCATAACTCATCCATAACATTCAACAACTCAGCCGTAATGTATTTGATAACTCAGCCATAACATAAACAACTAAGTAGAAACATCGAATAACTCAGCCATTACATAAAACTAAGAGAACTCAGCTTACCGGGGGACTAGTAACAGAGTAGTCTTGGCTTGACTGTTTCTTGAGAATTTCAGGTGTCTGTTCTTTTTTTTCTCAAAAGCATCACTGACTCTGATATTAGAGATGCTCTTGATATTGGCGATGTTCTTGAGTGGTAATGTGTCGTCATTTGTCGTCATTCTGAATGTTTTTGCCTCCACTCATGAGACCAGCTAGGCCTCCTCCTCTGGCAACGAAGGAAATTAGGCCTTTTATCTTGATGAATTCTTCATCAACATGTGTGAACTTATCATCAAAGGTCTCAACCTTTGATTTCATGGTCTCAATACTTGATTTCATTTCAGAAACCATACCCACGAGTAATTTAAGTGACGCCTTTCCACCAGCATCGTCCTCTTCACTATCAGCCTGCAAAACATACACAAAAATTGATAATTAAAACATACACAAATATATATGACTATATAACATGTAACTTACCTTTAGCTCCTCACTCTTCTTCTTCTTATTCTTCTGTTCATGAGGCTCGTTTATCTTCTTCTTCTTCTTCTTCTTCTTCTTCTGTGTATCTTCTGCACCAGAATCACCACCCTTTTCAACTTTCTGCTTCTTAGCGGGAGTTTCAGACTCAACCGCTGCTCTAACTTTTCCACCTTTATCCTCATGTATGTCATTGACCAAGTTGTTAAGTTCTGGGTCTTCTTCTGTCTGATTTGGCCACGTATGAAAAAGCTCACTTACATCACCCTTCATCACCATTTTACTCACACGGAACTACATTAGAAGACAAACATCAATAAGTATAACTCATAAAGACAAAACAAATACATAACTCAGCCATTACTAAACTATAACTCAGCCATAACTAATATATAACTCAGCCATAAATAAAAATAACTCAGCCACAACTAAATATTATTCTGCCATAACTCAATTATAACTCAGCCGTAACTAAATTATAACTCAGCCATAACTAAACCGTAACTCAGTCATAACATAAAATAGAGATCACTAAAATATAAGTCAGCCATTGAAAACAGATAATCTTACCTCACTATACTTTTTGATATCTTCAGCAATGGCCACATCTAATGCTGAACGTGTACGGGTTCCAGGCCATCGAAACAACGGGATCTCTTCATTCTCGACTAAATTCCCGAATCGCTCTCCTAAGCATTAGATAGAATCATATGCCCAAGCTTGTAACATGTAAACCGGCCCACCAAGGGTGTACGAACTACCTCTAGGATTCAAGCACTTGACATTATCAACCATAGTCTCAAATGCGACCCGACCCCATGGATAAGCCTTCACGGCTTTATCATCAGAAACTATTTTTGCAGCTTCAAATGGTATCCGTGAGTTATGATGCACGCAGTAAAGTCCAATGGCTAAAAAAATCAATAGCCCCAACCATTTGCGCTTCTCAACAGACCATGACCGGCACACTGATAATCCTTTAAGTAGCTCATCATATGTTGGACCTTCCCCACCAGGAACTTTCAATTCTTCTGTTAAGAACTGTTTGTAGTCAACTGAAGGTTCAAACTTCTCTGATGGAGTTGGATCTATGTTTAACCCAGTGAGGTGAGCGAATTCATTCAAACCAAACCTTATAGGCTGGCCACCAACTAAACACCAAATCTCTTTCTGTTTTATTCTCAACTGTCTACACAATAAATAGTGTACAGTCTTAGCAGACCAAACGAATTTGCTTTCAACTAATTTAGCAACTATTCCAAGAGGTAATTGCTTGATCTCATCCCACGCGTCTTGTCCAATTGATTCCCTAACCCCAGGGAAATCTGCCATCCTAAAATAGGTACACATGCTTTTATTCTTGAGGCTAGACATCCCTTCTTCGTAAAGTCTCGGTGGGTAACGCATTGCTTGTTCTGCAGCCATCTAAAATAAGTATAAACATATCATAACTCAGCCGCAACATACAACAAACTCAGCCGCAACTAAACTATAACTCAGCCATAATGTACACAATAACTCAGCCACAACTAAACTATAACTCAGCCATAATGTACACAATAACTCAGCCACAACATAAACTATAACTCAGCCACAACATAAACTATAACTCAGCCACAACGAAAACTATAACTCAGCCACAACATAAACTATAACTCAGCCATCACATAAACTATAACTCAGCCATCACATAAACTATAACTCAGCCACAACATAAAACAAGTTAATAAGTGAGCCATAACAAATATTATAACTCAGCCGCATCAATAACAAACTAAGACAACTCAGCCATAACATGATAATTAACTCAGCCATAACATGATAAGTAACTCAATCGTCGAATCGATAGATCTGACAAATCAGCCGTCAAGAATACTGTAACTCAGCCGTCGAATGAATAGAGCAAACGACGGCGACAATCAGTCATAATAAGCAAAAACAAACACGATTATAGTCGGAAAAAATTGAAATACAGTTCGACACTTACCGAAATACGAAAGGTCTCCAATGTAGCAAGAAAAACGACGACTCACTCACGGCGACTTCTTCTCTTCACAGCGACTCAAGGCGAGTTTTTAGAGCGAAAGAGAGAAAGCGTAATGGTTCGTCGGCAGCGAGTATTGTGTTCGTCGGCGGCGAGTACTGTGTTCGTCGGCGGCGAGTACTGTGTTTGTCGGCGGCGAGTTTCTTCTCTTTCGAACGCGAGAGAGAATTTTTTTTTTTTTTTCCAATTCTAAACAGTGACGAGAAAGAAACTGTTCACTTTCCTTTTTGATAATTAATGAGATAATAACTGTCGATGATGATGTGGCAATTTCAGGTATGACGTAGCATTTTCGGATCTGACATGGCAATTTTAAGTGAAAACAGACCAAGGGTGTTTATTGTGATTACACCCATCCCACTAAACATCTAAGGAATAAAAAAAAGATTTGGCTGTTTAAGGAATAAATCTACTTTTATGGTCTATCTAAGTAATTCTCCCTTTAAAATATATTAATTTTTTCATGAAAATATAATAATAAATTTTCAATTTCTAAATCAAATCTTTTATAATAAATTTATGATGCGCCAATAAGAAGAAGGGTGAACCGCACTCGCTTACACGTATTATATTTTCTTTCTTAACAAATCATACTAGTAAATCTATATTAAAGATTTAAAGTTAATTACTTAGATGGTTTGTCTGATTTCGAAAATTAGGTCATTTTCCATTATGGAGTCTCTATGTTCTAGCCATGTGTAACTATTTTACATATTTCTCTATACAAAAACGTATCTAACTCATTATGAGATAGAACGTGAGCACACGCGCTTATAATGACTACCTCACATAGTAAATTTACAATACAATCTATGCTTGATTTAGCTTAAATTAGTCATTACAGTCTCAAATACCTTAGATTTTGTTTCTAGTTTATGACACTAAATCATTTAATCATATATCTTTTGATTTCCACTTCTCATATACAAACAAGAGTAAGAAAATAAGAAAGCCTTAGATTTTGCCTAAGCTTAGACATAGGTTTATGGTATGTAGATAAATCTTCAGATTTACTAATAAACAATCTTTGACACGTTTCTCTCTCAATCTCACTTTCTTAAACTCCCAAACTACAACTTCTTAATTTGCACTCCCCAAAGAACCTATATAAGATGGCATCCTCCCAACACCAAAGATCACAACAACAACAACAACTTCTTCTTATAAACAACTACTTCTTGAGAGAGATGGATAACTTGCTACTGTTCGCCGAGGAAGACACCAACCCAAGGAATGGTGAGAAGCCCCCACACCGAGTGTGTCCAAGGTGTCACTCGGACAACACGAAGTTCTGCTACTTCAACAACTACCGCAAGTCCCAGCCGCGCTACAACTGCAAGAACTGTCGTAGGCACTGGACTCATGGTGGGGCATTGAGGAACGTACCAATTGGTGGGGGTTCTCGTAAGATCAAGAAGGCAAGGGTGGAGCAACCTCCGGCTTCCCGCGGTATGATTCCTCTTGACATCCATCAATTCAATCCTCAACCTTTCCCATACCTTCAAGGAAACAACGACTTTGTGGGATCTTTTGGTGCTGCTGCTCCTGTTAGGAACCATTTCGGTCCTTTCCCTGATCTTCACGGTGGTATGTTAGCAAATGTGCCTCCATTTCAGAGTTTCCTACCAAATTATCTCATAGATTACCAAGATGTGTCATTTGAACAAGATTTCTATGATGTTGGATCGGTTAACCCTATGATAAACCAATCAATTGGTGGTGGTTTTGTTGATAATCCTGACGGTTATCTCATAAGTCAAGTGGATCAATACGAGTGGAGCCAGCTGAGCTTCAACAACACTGCAATCATGGATCCTGGCGCCAGCACCAGTGGAAGCAGAGGACCTGAAGACATGACTGTGACCAGCGACAACATCAAGAGGCTCAAATACAACCGTGTGATTAAGCATACTTGTCACTTGGAGAAACATGGTCCTTGAATCTTTAACCGTATTACCGGTTTTCTTTTTCTAATAATAATAATAATAAGTCAAAATTGTCTCAGTTTTATTTCCCTTTTTATGTTTCCTTTCTTTGTTTGGTTATTAATGTTTGTATCTTTTGTTTCTCAAAAGATTCAACAATAAAGTTGCTTGTCTGGTCTTTTTCTTCTTTGTTTTTTGTATAATATAATATAATTATCCATTTTCTCAATATTAATTTTTTTTTTTTTCTTATTTTTCATTCTAAAAGCTTTATTAATTAATAATTATCTAGTAATTGCCATTCGTTTCTTTGCAATCTGCCTCTTGTTCATTGCTAATATATTTATCGTGGTTATAAATTTACAATTAGGTGATCTTGGACTAACTAATGTTCAGAGTACTTATTAAAACATACTGTCAAGAAACCTTTGTATTGTATAAATGTGATTTCTTGAGGTTTAAGGTACATTGAACATCAATATATATAAGCCATGAACTAAAGAATATAGTTCGACCTAATCGCATAATTAACCGTCATAAAACTATGATGGGCTTAGCCCAATACCCCCCCTCAAGGTGGAGTGTGGAGGTTACAAACACCCAACTTGACCAAGAACTCTTGAAAATGTTTGTGTCCCAATGCCTTTGTCATGATATCTGCAAGTTGAGTAGTAGTAGAAACATGTTTGGTAGCAATGACACCCCGAATGATCTCGTCACGTATGAAGTGGCAATCGATACCAAGATGTTTTGTTTGAGCATGAAAAACTGGATTGGCAGCCAACATGATCGCAGAAAGACTATCGGAGTAGAGAGTAATAGGAGCTGTAATCGCAATGCCAAGGAAAGGGAGGAGCTGTCGTAACCATAACAGTTCGCTGACCGTGTCCGCCATAGCGCGATATTCAGCTTCGGCTGAAGAACGAGAGACAACCTTATGACGATTTGTTTTCCAAGACAAAGGAGAGTCACCTAGCTGAATAAACCAACCAGTGAGAGATCTTCTTGTGGAAGGACATGTTGCATAATCGGAATCACACCAAGCTGTTAAGACGAGAGGTGTATTCGCACGTAGTAGAATACCCTGACCTGTACTGTTTTTTAAATAACACACCACACGGAGAGCAGCATTCCAATGAGCTTGTTGGGGAGCATCCATGAACTGAGATAAAATATGAATCTCATATGAAAGCTCCGGTCGTGTGTTTCCAAGATAGATGACACGTCCAACAAGTCGTCGATAACGTGACGGTTCCGGAAAAAAATCTCCTTTGGCATAAGGAAGTTTGTTATTTTGTTCTAACGGAAATATGGTTGGTTTAGCACCGAGTTTACCAGTTTCAGCAATTATGTCGAGGGCATACTTGCGTTGGCAAAGATAGAAACCAGCAGAACTGCAAGCCACTTCAATACCTAAGAAATACCGCAAGACTCCCAAATTTTTCATGTTAAAACAAGAACTGAGGTAGTGTTTGAACTCGTTAATAACATGAACAGAACTCCCGGTGATGATCAAATCGTCAACATAAACCAGAACGTGAAGACGAGTTGTGTCGGTAGCCAAACAAACAGTGAATAATCAGAGTAGTCTTGAATAAATCCAAAAAATTTTAGAGCGGAAACAAGCTTGGCAAACCAACAACAAGGAGCCTGTTTCAAACGATAAAGAGACTTGCGATGACGACAGACCTTAGTGTTATCATCTGTACGAAATCCAGGAGGAAATTTCATAAAAACTTCTTCATCAAGATCACCATGAAGAAACGCATTATGAACATCCATTTGATGTACTTCCCAGTCTAAAGAAGCTGCTTGTTGAAGAAAAGCTCTCACGGTAATCATTTTTGCAACAGGAGCAAAGGTCTCATCATAATCAACACCCTCTGTTTGATTATTACCGAGAACGACAAGGCGAGCTTTGTGACGTTCAAGCATACCATCAGCATTGTATTTTAAACGAAAAACCCACTTACATCCAATAGGCTTCTTACCAGGTGGAAGATCTTCACAGTCCAAGTTTGTAAGGCTTCTAAAGCTTGAATTTCAGCAAAGACAGAAAGACGCCAATTTTCATCCAAAACGGCCTCATTATAACTTTTAGGTTCTTTGCCTGAAGTGATGGCAAACAAATAAGCTTGATCAGTTTCTGAAAATTGGGAGCTGGAGAGAAAATTATCAATAGGATACGGAGTGACCGATGGCAAGGGCGTGTAGACAAGAGAGGCGACGTAATCGGCTAGCTTGACTGGGGGGTTCTTCTTGCGATGGCCAAAACCGAGCTGTTCTGGGGGAGAGTCGTCATCAGGAGAATCGTCATCATGAGAGGAAGAAGAAGGAGTATAAGTCTCGTCGGAGGATTCAGTTGGTGCAGAGGAATCTGTTTCGACAGTAGTAGTTGGAGAAACAGGGTCATGAGATGGTGAATCGCATTGTCCGGCGAGATCATTAACTAGTGG